GCAGACGAACAGAACAGCCAGATGCAAAATGGTGGTCAGGGACAGGGTATGGGACAGCCACCTCAGGGCGGCCAGGGAATGGGACAGCAGCAAGGTCAGCAGGGCAACCAGCAGCAGGGAGGACGCATGAAGCGTTCTAGCATTGATGAGCCACTGTCCATTGCTGAACGAATAATGTCTCGTTTCAGTTTTAACAACCACAACTAATTTTTTGGGGGGGAAAAGTATGTTTGTTTTCTATTTTGACTTAAAACGACGTGGGATATAAAAGATCAATAAACAGATGTGGTAGGATTCATATAATTTTATTGACATTTATTTTCTCCCTCCCCTTATCCTCTTTTGCAATCATATTGATACATAAATACTGTGTGACTGAAGACATTAGGAATTCCTTAACAGCAAATTAAATTACTTTGATCAAAACAAAGCACCCTTAAAAGATTTTCTTTAGAAAAATGGGAAGGTAGAACTTTGCTTGTACTGTTTGTCTTACAGGTAGAAACCACAATGTATGTTTTAGTAAAAACATTAAAAAAGAGAAAACCATTTGAAGAAAGGATTAAAATGTAACATGCATGTAAATGAAGTATTGAGAAAGTTCATACACAACTCCAACGGCTATGAAGGCAAGATTGGCATTAAGATCACATGCTAAATCAATAAGGCTCAAAAGCCCGTAAAAAATTATAATGAAAATTTTAGCATAAAACAACCCCGCCCAAATCACATGGCTGTATGAAGTGTGGAGGATGATGCACTGTGGAAATGTACATGCCTAGAATTTATGTCACTATTACTTGAGTATTGGTTATCACTATCCTGGTGGCTAGAACTTCGAGCATCTTCTGTTTCATCATAGGATTCTTCATCAAGACTTTGTACAATAGATGATGTGAAGCTAAATTCAGCAACCTCTCGAACTTCAGTTATGCCTGGCTCATCCCTGTACAAAAAACACAATAGATATTTAGATAGATAATATAAAAATATATATACTGGTAATAATAAAACTAAAAATAATGTAAAACAAATCAGTAATATAGACAGCTGATTCTTGACTTTGTACCTATTATCGGATGCAGTTTCAAGACTGGAGCAGCTATAGCCGAGCTCATCAGGACAAGCAAGACTGCCTTCTATGCGTACAACCTCAACACCACTAGCTGGAAGATTGCTTGCATATACAGCTCCTGGGGAATGAGTGTCTCCAAGATACTGAGGATTGTTCAGTTCTATCACAGAGGAAGGAGGGCATTCACTTATAGTGGAACCAGAATCATTTAGGTTCCTAGTAAAACTAGTGCCTGAAAGCCTCATCACTTCAACTGAAGCAAAGTGGAAAATAAAAAGGAATGGTTTGCGGAAAGCTGGAAAATGACATAAGTTAGAATGTTGTTGTTTTCTTAGCAGTATCAACTAAAGCAAAACATAGGTTCCTCTTACCAAAGGCGAATGGCACATGGCCCCACTTCAGATCTTCTTCTCGAGATCTACGTCCATATTGGTCAACAAATACACCTACTTCATGGAAACACACCAAATATTCTGGAGAACAACGTCCTCCTGACATAGTTACATCCAAAATTGCAGATGGATAACTGTTAGTTTTCTTGGCAAGAGCAATGAGATGAGATAACGATTTGTCAGAAACATCAAGGAAATCTAAAAAAAAAAAAAAAAAAAAAAAAAAAAAAAAAAAAAAAAAAAAAAAAAAAGAATCAAAAAAATTCAGAGAAGTTTTAGTTGAAAAATAATGTTGGTGTTGGGATTCTTTAAATCACAAAGTAAATACTATCAGTTCAAAATTACCTTCAACTGAAAAATCTTGAGCATCAATTTCAAAAAACTTGTTGCATCCTACAATTATGGAATGTGGTGTCAATAGTATGCAGCTAGAAGGTTCTTGTGTTTCTAACACTTTCAGCTGTTGGAATCCAGCTGAACCTGATGTATTCCATTTGAACATACTGAGAGAAAGAAAATTAAAGTAAAGTGTTATAGCGGAAAGTCACATTATTTAAAGACAATTAATATTCAGTAAGAAGTTTTCAAAAAGATTAGATGGGCAGATACTAACAAAATGCGTTTTGTGGATGCAGCACAAAGAATATCTGATGTTGTTCCTGATTGGTTTGGTTTAGCAGTGGCGAGAAGCTGGAAACAAGTTTCTGGGTTGTTGACATTGATAGGGAAGATAGGTCTAGTGTTCAGTACAGCTTGAGTACACTCAGCTGCTTCAGCACAAGCTTTCATCTGTCCATATTCACAGTAAAGCAAATCACGATTCTTTCCAGATATTAGAACCACAATTCCATGATGGGCAAGGACAGTCATCTGATAAACAGGACCAACACCACCTATTTTAACAGGCTTTGGTTTTTCTTTTCCTAGGTGGTAAGAGAATAGGCCCTCCTCTGCTCCCAAGAGAACAACCTAGCAATACAAATAGTTTTTAGTACATCACACAAATGACAGGAGTATGAACATAAGCAGAAGAGATAGGTTGAGATTTTTACCTGTTGGCTCATATGCATTACACATGCTACATCTAGTTTATTGTCCTGGGGAAGTCTGGCCATAACTTGACCACAATATCGGCGGCTTCTTTCTACAGTGGTGCTTCCCCTTAAAGCTTCACCAGCACGTACAGCTGCTTTCAGAGCTTCCATCCATTTCTCCTTTTCATTGGCACTCAGAGCCATAAGATATTGAGTGGAGCCAGGCCAGCAAGTTGTGCGAGGTGTTACCTCAACCTTAATTTAATTGAAAATACATTAGACAGGTGACAGGTATCAGTAAAATAAAAAACATGCAATTCCATATGTGCATATTTTAAGGAAATATTAGGGTAGTTCACCTTGATAATAAATGGAATGTCAGATTTAGCTGTACCAACTATTTCACTCTGAGAGGCAGAACACACAGAAGCAACACCATCAGCAGGGCAAAGTGGGTATCTCTCAATAGGAGACATGTGTGCTGAGCTAACTACAGGCTCATGAGCAAAAATGAGCAATTCACTGCCTGCAAGCCTGACATAGCGCCTTTCCCAACAACTATTGCCTCGTCTAAAAAGTAACAAAGAATTATAAAATAATTCTAAGATTACAGAAAATAAATCAGACTAAATTTGCAGCAAAATTAACATACGTTGGTAGCTTCATCCATCCTTCAATATTGACTGCAGATGAGCAAGGAGTGTCAGTGTGTGCTCCATTTGTTTCTCCTTCTTTGGATTTCTTCCATCTTTGAGAAAAGTGACGAGCAAAACCAGAGGGCAAACCACAAGTTGATGGTAAGAGGGCAGTGCAGCGATGATGAGCAGCAATTCCACATTCTGCACACATTGTAGCTTGACGCCCAAAGGGCAAGCCATCCTGACAAGCTGCACATTTAGAAGACTTCATAATAACTTTCACCTCAAATCTAAAAAAAAAGGACAGAAAGAAAAATAACATTAAAACAGTAATTAGATAGAAGACAACTCTTATCAATGTCTAAGTTCACTGTCTGGGACCAACCTATGAGGAATGTTGTGATGCATACGCTGAAGTGATGCTTGATTTTTAATAGCTTGTGATCCTGGGGAAAGTACCAAGTGCTTTGCAGCAGTTGGAGAGAGAACATTTTCAGGGGAACTTGTCTGAATTTTTTCTTTTTCTATTGTTGTAGCCTTGGGACCGCGAGTAGAAGAGCGTGCAATCTCTTCAGTTAGTTTCTGAACTTTCTTCCTTTCTTGGTACAGCTGTGATTCTAGCTCCTTCACTCTAAAAATTAAAATAAAGTACCAGGAATCAGCTTTCATCTCAAATTAAGAAGTAAAATTAATATGTGTGTACAATACATGTGCATGGATTTCTACTGACCCAGCATTGATAATGTTGGCACTGTTCATTTGGTTTTCTTTGTCTTTCTTTCCAAAAAGTTTGTCAGTCAGTGTCTTCTTGCGACGTCCCTGTTCCTCAAGCTTTTGCTGAAGATAGTCAATAAGCTTAACTTGCTGCTGCAGGGTTGCATCACTCTTCAGTTGACGGTGGGCATGGCAAGCTTCCATTTCAGCGATAGTACTTTGAAGTCTCTCAACTCTTTCCAAAAGAGCTCTCTCTTCCTCTACACTTTCTTCCAGTTCCTGGTCCAATCTGTCAAAAAAACGGTCAGGAAGATTCCGTAACATAACTAGAGAATAAGCAATGTAACAGGTAATAGTGATTAACTGACACAAACCTTAAATTAGTCTCTTTCAATGTATGAATACGAGTAAGTTGTGTGGCGATTTCCTCCTTCAAGCCCATAGTTTCAGCCTGAAGATTAGCTACCTGGCGTTGAGCACAATGCAAGGAAACTTCCAGCTGTGATGTTTGTTCGTCAGTTGTATTGACCTGCTCAGTGAGTCTTTCTGCTAATGTTTTATATTCAGAAGCCTGCTCGCGCACTTGTGTAAGCGCTGATTTCAACTCTTCAAGTTGAGTTTCTAAAGTCATGACACGAGCCTCTGCTTGAGCACGGAGTGACTTCTCTTCATTCACAGCCTGTTTGCTGAGGCGGATCTCACTCTGAGCAACTTCAATGTCAGCCTGGCAGGGATGAACAAATTGTACTTAGTGATAGGCAGAGGAGTATGAGTAGAAACAATGATGGTGAACACAAACTTACCTGTAGTTTGGAACATTCTTCTTGAAGGCGTGCTTCTTTGGCTTCATGTGTAGAAGTCAACCTCTCAAAGTCTTCAAGCTGTTCCTCTAACATAGTGCAGGTTTCCTTCAACACGTTGCTGTTCACTTCAAGACGCTGAAGTGTGCGTTGAGTTTCATCAAGCTAAGAATAGACATAACAGTTAGATGCAATTTTTTTTTTTTTTTTAAATGGCACGAACAGCAGAATTGAAACTTAAACGTAGGCAAATTACCTGCTGCAGAATTCTCCTCTTCTCATCTCTTAACTCGTGACAAGTTTCATCAGTCTTGCTGACTTGTAACTCTAACAATCTTACTTGTCTATTGGCAGCGGTCAAATCTACTTCTAACTGTTTCACCTTAGCCTCCTTGGTAGAAAGCTCTGATTTGTAAGCAGAAAGTGTGTCAGTCATAGTTGATGATGACATTTTATCCTGTTTGAGCTCAGCCTGAATCATTTCAAGCTCACGAGTAAGCTGCAAAATTTTGTCTTTGTCAGCTCTCTTTAAATCCCTGTCTTTCTTCATATCTTCTTCAAGCTTTCCTTTTTCATTCTAAATAAAATAAATGCATGGTCATTACAAAATGCAAATGTAATTCAAGGTCTCTTTGAAAAGTGCCTTAAAATTTAACAAACCTTCAATTTAATCAACTCTTCTTGCAATGTTTTCACTTCACGCTCAGAGATTCGCAGATCCAGTTTGGCATCAGCAAGCTCTTTTTCTTTGCGCCACAAATCTGTCCGAGCAGCTTGGGCTGCTTGGCGGTCTAGAATTGCTGCCTCTTTAGCTTTGTCCAGTTGAGATTCTAATTTGGTAAGGTTGACTTCCATAACTTGCAACTGAAGATTGTTAGCGTCATCCTAAAATTTAAAAGAAAAAGATTTAGAGATTGAAACAAAGACGTTGTTGGTAAGATTTAAGTATACCACATGTGACATACCCCTCTGCCATTACAGATGGGCTCTAGGCTTGCTTCAGCCTGAGCAGCAACAATGGTAGTTGTAGTCACAGTTGTGGTAGAGGAGGCTCGAGGTGATGCCATGGAGCCATTAGCTCCAATGGACGACCGTCGTTTGAACTTGACAAGGGCTGAATTTTGTTCTCTAAGTTTAGAATTTTCCTCTTCCAGCTTAGTAATGCTACCTTCTAGTGATTTCATTAATTTTTCTAAAGATTCTAACTGTTCTTTATTTTCTTCATCTTTGTAAACTAGATCTTGCAAGCGTTTTTCAAGAATAGCCTTCTCCTTGCAAGCATTTTCCAACATACGAATACGTTCTTCCTCCCGTTCAGCAATGGTAGTTTCATGTTGTTCAAATGACATAACAGAAGTACTCATTTCAGATTCAAGAGTGGCAATGCGATCCTGCCATACAGCACATTTAGCACAACCCTTTTGAATTCTCCTTTCAAGTTCAGAAACACGAGTTTGCTCCAAATTTTTAACTTGATTAGATTTTTCTGCCAGTTGATCACTCAAACATTTAGAATCCAATCGAGATTTTTCCAACGCTTTCTCGAGCTCAAGGCGTTTCCTATCCACCTGAGCTTTGTACAGTTCGAATTTTCTAGCTTCAGTATCAAATCTGGCTTGCAGTTCGGACAATTGGTTCTGGCTTTCTGTCGCTAGTCCATTTAAACGGCTTTGAACATCCAAGACACTTTCTCTCTGAGATTGTCTAGTTTTGGCCATATTTTCTTTGTATTCCTTCACCAGATCTTGGAGATTGGATACCTCTATTCTTAGTTGGTTTAATTCTTTATCTCTTCGATGTACCTTGGAAATCAAATTGTTGTTTGTTGTGTTCAAAGCTGTCAATTGATCAGTAATTTGTTCAATTTTCTTGTCTTTCTCCTTGTGCTCCTTAGCATATAGTCTATCCCACTTTTCTTTAGCACTTTTAATTAACTCCATAGCTCTTGCTTCCATGTTTTTGGTTTCTTGCATTTCCAAGTCTAGTGCTCGTCGTAAAGACTGTTGTTCTGATCGAGATCGTGCAAGTTCAGTTTCAAGGCGAGATCTGTCCTGTTCAACCAACTCCAGACGCTGCTCGGCAGTTTCAGCTCGCTTTTCAAGAACTTCAACACTTTTGTTCTTTCTCCCTGAAGTTCCCTCCAGGGCATTGATTTTTGACTAAAACAGAAATATGTAAATAAAAAAAATAAAGTTATAGACACTGTTTGGAACAGCACAAAATTATTCGGTGTTGCTTAAATACTCACCAAAAGACCATGAATTTCTTTTTTCTTGGCATCCAGTTTCCTCTCCAGATGAGGATCAACAGGGACTGTTGAATTTGCCATGGTAGAAGGATCTTTGGCAAAAGTAAACCCAACAAAGGGTAAATTTCTACCAGAAAATTCCTTATGAGATTTAAAATTTTCAATGGAGGGACCAGGCTGAACTCGTTCAAATTCAAAGAAATTGGAAGTATCGTCTTCTCCATTTACAACTGGGACATGAGGTGGAACGATGTCCCTTAAAGATAACCAGTCAACATCGACAAAAAAGGAGTGCTTGATTAAATGGTCATATGTCAGGCGGGAATTTGCTTCTGAAAGTAAGCCCGAGACCATATCTTTAAAATCTGTCAAAAACATGTAAAAAAGGATATTATTAAAAAACCTTTTTAAAAAAATTTAATGATTCATTGCACGCTTTATAACATTTCTATACCATTAGAAACTTCTATGTGGTCAGGATATTTAAAATACTTTTTGTGTTGAAGAATATGCTGATATGTAGTGGCAAGTTGATCACTTCTGAATGGTGTTTTACCAAATGCTATTTCGTATGCTACAATACCAAGTGACCAGTAGTCACACTCTGAACCATATGCCTGAACAGGTTGAGTTATTGGAGAGCGTGAGGAATTAGATCGGCTCTTGCTCTTCCCTTCCGTTGCTTCAATTCCTTGAAGCACTTCTGGAGCTAAATATTCTGGAGTACCAACAGGCATTTCAGCTTGAACCAATCCAGAACTCGATAATTTTGCAGATGACCCTGAGATGAAATAATATTTATTAGATAAAATATAGGAAGAAATGGTGAATAAAAGTGAAAAAATTGCTTCTCACCAAAGTCTGCTAACTTTATGTGACCACACCTATCAAGTAAAATATTATCAGGCTTGATGTCACGATGAACAAACCCCATTTGATGCAAACTACGGATTGCAGATGTAATTTCAGCTAAATAAAACCTAAAAAGCAAAATTAAGTTTGGGATTTTTGTTAATTTGTGTTCAGATTACATTACAAGATGAGCAGGCTTGCTAATTATTAATTCACCTTGAAAACTCCTCTGACAAGCGTCCACCAAATCGGTCAAGCAGACCAAGCAAATCCCCTCCAGGGTGAAATTCCATAACTAGGTACAGATTGTGCATGTCTTGAAATGCATACTGCAGAGAAGTGATCCATGGAGATACTGCTGTAGCCATGACATCTCTCTCATTGTCAAAGAATGCACGTTTATTACCAAGGGTATCACTCTTTCTTAATGTTTTCATTGCATAGGCATCGCCTGTTTGCTTTTCTCTAACCAGGTGAACTTCTCCAAAATGACCTCTTCCAATAACCTTCTTCACTTCAAAGTCACTTATATTTGCACGCAGACTACGAATCTCACTTACAGGAAAACGGAATTTTTCAACAAAAGCAGCAATGTTAGGGTCTTTCTTCATTGTGTCAGTATTACACTCATCATACAAAACTAACAATGAATCAATAAGACCTTCTTGTCCCAGAAGTCGTGTTTTGGGATCTTGAGTCTTCCCCATAGTGATGTTTTTAATACGAGTGATTCTCACACTTAGTGTTTCACTTGATGGTTCCATTTTGGCTGACTAATATAAAACCACAGATTGTGCCTGAAAAATAAACAATAATGCGTTGATGATGACTAGAGATCAAACAGCCTTAACAAAAGAAAATCTTGAGGCAGCATTTGGACAGCTCTCAACTAAGTCTTCAGCGAACCATATTAACAAACCGAACTCTACAAAGATATGAAGGTAATGAACCGTCCCCTTGATTTTTCATATAAATATATTCTTTTTCAATAATTTAAATATTCGCCAGGTAGTTTAAATTCGGGAAGTAGCAGTCAGGGGGCCATTAACCTTATCACCCTGTCACTGTGCTTCCCGCCACAATATTTACATCAAACAAGTATAATTTAACCAGAACCTAAGATCAAGTAACTAATATAAATTGTATGAAAAAAACTCTCAACAACAGACAGTCAAAGACAAGCAAGAAGATAAGTCCTTATTTGAAAATTGACTCCAAACGCTGGGAAGGCAGAAGTTGTGTTCTCTTGTGTAACAGCGATTGTACACCAATTTCTTACAGAAACACCAAGAGAATGAATGCACAACAATACTGATCATCTAACGCATGAATAAAAACGCTCCATTTCCTTACCTTACAATTAACTACATCACTAAATGGGTAAAATTTTTGGACTCCTCTCGTGGTTTTAACTGAGGCGTCAAGCAACAACACCAGCACCCGTCATTTCGCTCTCTCTCTCTCAATTTCAAATTTGACTGACTTCTGTATGTACAGTGCTACAACATGCTACAACAGAAACGTACACATTATTACGTTATTTTTAGAACGAACGGTGCGGGTCAATACAAACATGAACACATTTATTATTACTTTGGTGAAAGTTCTGTAAGTTTTAGTAGCTTGTTGTTAATTTTGAGGAAGAAGACATCCAAATGAGTTCCAATTATTTTTTAGCCGTGAGGCTGGCAGCACATACTGGGCAAACCGTCAAAACGCGTAAATAAACTTGAAAAACATGCCTAACAGATTTTAAGAGCCTTAATAAATCTATGCTTCCTGAGAAAAAAGCATGTAAAATAATTTTTGCAATAATTTGAATGCACCTATTGATTGGGAATCAAAGTTTCGAAATGTGTTCTTTCTAAATTCTGGTGGCAGTCAAATTATTCGAGCGTTGGCTACTCAGTCGGAGGAGGGGGGACATCCATGACGTCACTTAAGGAGGGATGGAAAAGAAAGGGGTGGGGCGGGGTGGGGGCAGTGGAAGTGGGAGTAGTGAACTTGAGATAGAAGAAGGAAGCAGGAGAAAGGGAAATGACGATGATTGAAGAAACCAAAGGAAAATTGAGAAAGATACCGGCAGGAGGAGGCAGGTGCGAAGAAAGAGAAGTAAATCGAAGGGAAGGCAAGACAAGGCAAACGACATAGTCCTATATCCTATATGTGATATCCGTGTTCTTATGGGGTTGCTCTTGAACTCGATCATGAAGGACTTGTAGAGAAGGAAGAAAAGTCAGGATCTGATCCTTTTCGCTGGTCGATGATGGTTGTCCAACAAGGTGTGGCAGTTTTCAACCATGTTCTCTTCTAAGGGCCAGCTGAAGTAGGTTAAGGGTCGTAAAGGAAGCAGACGTCAGCTATCAAATCAAAATTGATCTGTTATCTTGCGGGGTCAAGTCCATAGAGCCAGCGCCCATAGCCCCAGAACTTCTTGTTCAGGTATAGAGCGTGCTTACGGCTGCGCCCAGCTCAACCATGGATAGAGACTCTAAGTATCTTCTTAGAAAGATCATCATAGATGTGGCAGTGTTGTTAACGAGTAAGGAACTGTTGAACATATTGGAGTAATTTAATCATATGTACTTACACTTTACTTACTTTAATAAATTTTCCAATTTCAGTTGGATTACCAATTTTGCTCTTTTTCTTGTTTGGTAAGCCATATCATCGTGGGTTCTATTGTAATGATGAATCCCTAATGCACCCATTCAAAGAGTCAACTGTCACAAACTTAATGTTGTATATTATTGGTTTATTTCTACCAATAACTGTGGTTAGTATCAGCAAGTAATAACTTGAAATATTATAGCCTTCACATTTTTTAAAAATATTTTATGTTACGTGCTTGCAGATTATTATTACTGAGTTTTACATCCATCGATCAGCAGCAGGTCATGTGGCTCAGATCTTCATGGGACATGCAGTTCCCTCATGGGTGTGGAATTCATACAAAGTAATTGGAGTGTTTGGATTTGGTGCAGCAAGCTCTCAGCTTACTACTGATATTGCAAAGTACACCATAGGTCGTCTACGTCCACATTTTATTGATGTTTGCAAACCAAACATTAACTGTAGTTTACCAGAAAACCAGCATAAATATTGGGAAGAATTTGAATGTACAGCCAACATAGGCTCTCGCAAGCTTAAAGAGGCGAGGTATATTAAGTTTTATTTATAGGAAATTTTCCTGTTTTGTTCAATGATTTTATGTCTTTTACTCCATTTCTATTTAATTACCTGTTGTCCTCCTTGTGTTAGGCTTTCATTTCCATCCGGACATTCATCTTTCTCTGCATACACCATGGTCTTTCTCGTGGTAAGCCATAAAATTATACTAATTTTTTAATACACTTTCTGAGTTGTCCCTACTTTCATATCCTTTTTCAAAATATCTTTCAACAGTGCTATCTTCAATCACAAATGACGTTCAAGGGCTCAAAACTGTTACGGCATGCTATTCAATATTTATGCTTGATGCTGTCTTGGTCAACAGCCATGTCACGCATTTCCAATTACAAGCACCACTGGAGCGATGTTTTGTCAGGATTACTCATTGGCACTATTGTAGCCATCTTAACTGTAAGTAGATGTTTTCCTCATATTTAAATTATTGATGAAATAATGTAGTTGAACTTTTACATTAAACGTTTGTCTGTTTACAGGTTGTGTATGTATCTGATTTATTCCCGCGGCAAGCCACTAAAGGCGAAACTGAACAACTTATGAGGCGGGGCTCTCCCAACAAGAGAGAAGTACAGCCTGCTTATTATGACAGCACTCAAGACCACCAAACATTACCACTACATACTGTTGATGGTCAACATTTAAGCCCCAAGGAAAATAGGCGAAATTCTCCTGACCTCTCCTGTTCTCGTGAGCCACTTAGCAGGAATCAACTTGCATAATAACCACAAGTACCTCAAGATATTCCTGTGGCAGTGCTTCTAAATTTTCTTAAGCCTCTGTTCAAGTTAGGTGACATTAATTTCTTCCGTAGCTGTATAGAATTTATCTGTCTGCATTTAATTAACAAAAAGCTCAAAGTAAAATTTCACATGAAATGAGTGGGAAATACAATGTAACCTATTTATTACTCCTAGTTTCTATCTGTTTAGGATTAGAAATGTTAAGTATTACTAATATGTACTACCTCTATGTACTTGTAGGTATTTGTCTGACTTCAAAAAGACGTCTTCTGTGTTTCCTAAAATTCTTAGTTTCCAAAGACTTTTTTATTAAGCAACAAAGGCTAAAATTGCATGCCACACAAAAGTGAAGAATTTTAACTTTTTTTTTTAAATTTACATGTTATCTAATTTGGGCTGTCTTTTTGACCATTTGCCTTCTTCAATATTTGATAGAGTCAAGATGCTTAACTGTCTGTAGTGCACAAAATAGAAAGCACATGCTCCTTAAAACAAATTTAAATTATTTTGTAACATGTAACAAAGAGGTAACATGTGTGTTCGTTTGCAGTTCTTACTGGGATTTGACTTCATCAACGAATGAGTGTTGTGTTAAACTATTATCGGGCTTTGTTGGTTTTCTTCTTTTTAATTATCTAGTGTGATATCTACGCTGTTAAACCTTTGTGATATTTTAAAGGATTTGTTATGTTTGTTTATATTTGTTTGCTACAACAGCTTTAAACGTTTCTTTTTCCCCTTTTTTATATCTTCTTGTTTGTTTTTGTTGTTTGTTTTTTGACTCAATGAGTAGCTTTTCTTGTGAATGTCATTCTCTGGGACCTCAGTCATATTTGTACCTCATATTAATTTGTTAGTAAGATGATAGGTAAGACAATGGCGTCTGCTCCAAACAAATGTGTGATATGTTCATGGCTTCCTGTCTTAATTCTGTATCTACCAAGTTTGTCTTTTACATATGTACCTTCATGTTTCTGTGTTACTACATGTAGTACTAAATGAAAAAAATGAATAAAAAGTAATGTCAACTTCTATTTTGTGTAGCCATTTTCTACCCTCTTATTTTATTTTTGTTATATTACAATGATTTCAAGATAGTAGTGATAAGATCTTTTCAGAATCAGACAAACTTTCCTCGATTATTCGAAATTGGCGCGTGAACAATGTGTGCCAACATATCCCTGTAAGTTTCTGACCGAAAAAATACTAAGGGC